GTGGGTCCCCTCGGGCTGCCTGGTTCGGCTCCTGCCGCGAGTCACGAGTGGGTTGCATGCGTGTCAGGGCTGGGGATTCTGGATGCACATGGGCTGGGTGAGCAGCGGGGCTGGGGGCTGCCGAAGCTGGAGTGCATGGAAAGCTGTGAGATTAGGACCACGCGTGGGCTGTGTGCACAGCAGGGCTGCAGGATCAGGCCCCTCCTGCAGTCCCTTCCCGTGGACACAGGTCCTCTGCGACTGGCAGTGCAGCCAGGCGAGGAACGGGGGCTGCTCCAGACTCCAGCATCCAGGGAGAGAGGGGCAGGATCCTCCCAGGGGACTGCATGGGATAAAACCTTTTCTCCCACCTGGGCACTGGGTGAAGCCCTCTCCTGTCTTGCAGCCGCCTCCAGAGCTGAACGTGCCTGTAAATCATTTGCTTTTATGATCCCTCCCCTGGCCCACTATCACACGAACTTTACATGTTTGGGGCTGCTGGTGGCCATAAAGCTCGCCCAGCTCTCGGGGCTGGCATCCTTGCCTTGCCGCGAGGGTGTGAGGAAGAGGAGGAGGAGGCTGGGGACACATGGCTCGGTCCCCCCGGACGGGTCCCAGCAGTGGCTGGTCCAGGTAGGGAACAGCCAGTGGCGCGGCCATCCGCGCCTTGAGGACAGAGGGACGGACAGACCGCTGGAGGGCGGCCGGGGAAAGGGACAGGGCTCGGGCTCACTTGCAGGGAGCAGGGAGAAGCCATGGGTGCAGCGATGAGCACTGGCAGAGCCAGCCCCGTCCTGGCCCCATCCCCTGCACACTGAGCCCTCTAACTACACTCGCTGTCGTCTCTTCCTTGCATTTCCACCCACAGACAGCTCTGGTCATTCAGTCCCTCTTCTCTCTCATCTTGCTGAGCAGGCTGGGTCCCAGTGCTCCTGGTGCTTGGCAGATCCTCTGACTCCTGATGACCACACCAGCTAACATCCCCTCAGGTCCTCTGGGCATCTTTGCACCTTGGTCAGTGTGGGTTGGAGTCTGAACCCTGTGTTCATGGATCGGGGGTTCAGGACCATGCAGGCCCTGCCTTAATCTAGGGATCCTCTGGAGTGAGCTTTCTCACCTGGGATGCTGGGTCCAACCTAGGTCTCAGATTCAAAGTATGCATGTTGCAACACACTGCATGGCCTGA